ATATATATATATATATATATATATATATATATGTAAAAAGGTATTTTAAAACCTTCCCACACACATCTGCAAGCACTCTTGGCCACGCCCACTTCTCTGCTGCAGAGCGGAGGGAGATATGACAAGCTGCAGGAGGAAGCTTTTTCTGCAGCTGTGGGCTGCATACAGACCCGTGCACCTGTGCAGCAGGTGCTAAATAATTTAAAATAATTCATTTAAAATAAAAATTCCATGCGTAATGTGCGGCTCATCCATCAATCAGCCAACTGTGCGTCATGTCCAATCTTACTTTGAAAAACCACGGTAGAGCGAGTCCGCGCAAAACAAATCGTGAAATAGCGAGGAACTACTGCAAATGTAAATCTCATGAAAATATAATTTTTATTTATTTCTTTGAAACTTATTTGGCTTGTGTAGATAAAAAAAAAAAAACAGAAATAAGTACTTTAGGTCCAGGGAAGCACTGTACTCACATTCAGTCACAAAGAAGTTGAGCATCGTGATGACGACTGTGTGACCACTGAACATGTAGTCTCCACAGGTCTGGACTCCAGTCAGAGTCATGCCAAAGCCACTCCATATCGCCAGCGCTCTCTGGATTTTCCCCCAGCTATCTCCATATGTCTGTTGAGAGGAAAAACACTCCCGCGGTGAACTCCCTGCTTATTAGAAATTGCAACACAAACACTGAGATAATCGCAGCAGCATCGTCCCCCTCTCACCTTACTGGCACATATCAGGTGTTGCCCAGGCACAGACAGCGAGGTGACAAACATGGTGCAGCAGCGGAGCAAAAACACCGTTCCCATCAAAGAACACAGACGTCTGAAGAGAATGGACCTGAAACGGAGACAAAATAACATTATCTGCTGCGTGTGGAGTAACAACGAGCAAACGGTGGTGAGACGAGAGCAGGTAAAAATGGGGCTACCTGTGTTTGTGCAGGAGCAGGATCAACATAAACATATAACACAATATAAGGCCGCACGCCTCAGCTATTGCAAAAGCCCAAGGGATTCTGGGTACACTGTGAAAGTGCAGAAACACGTGTCTCAGATTGTAGATTAGATACAACAGCAGAGGAGTGTGTTCACAAACGATGGAGCTAAAGTTGCTCAACGTTGCTGGAGTAAGACTTTTGCTGATTATTGCTGCAAAACAAACAAGATGAACAATTTACCTGTCCAGGAATATATCAGGAAGGGGTGGATACGTCCTCATGTCTGGGACGCGCTCGTGCACAATGACCATGACAAATGAGGTGAATCCACACACTAGAAACACATATATGGAGCTGAGGACGGTCTTCCAGACCTCTGGGTCCAATCTACCGGCCAGCGGCTGCTCACACCTTCCATTGGAGTGTGTTTGACACAGCAGCGCAGATCCAGATCGAACGCTGCTCCTCAGCCGCAGCTCAGTCCCGTTACACAAGCGATCGCCTCTGTTGAGCCCCCTTCTGTCGGCTGCACCGCAGCTCCACTCAGGCTTCACAGCGCTCAGCGGGAGCCCAGCAGGTGGAGTAACAGGAGGCCAGAGACCCAGCTCCTCCAGCTGGGGCTGATTCTGTTTTTGGAGACGAAAGAGGGCCACGGTCAGTCGTTTGATGTCCCCCAGGACTGTGAGGCTCAGTGGAGGACCCCGGAGGTCGGCCTCAGTCAGAGCCAGCAGGCTGAGGCCGTCGAGGCGATGCTGGGAGCACAGCAACTCCACATATTCCTCGAAACCCTCCTCCTGCAGCCACCGGGCCACCTGAGTACAGGTCCAGGTACTCACGCCGTCTGACTGTGCCATCCTGCTGCACACAAAAACACAGTTTTCACCACTGAAGGCTACAGCATAAATAGAAATAATCGAGATGGTGATTAACTACAAACAAATTCCATTACACTGATAAGAATTGAGATTATTCACCAACTACTAGAACATTTATCAAAAATATTTGAAGGGTGAAATTGAACCTACTGCCCAAATTCACAACATTTTAGTAATAATTTAAGATAAAAATGTCTACTGTACAAGATGTGTAAAGAGAACCAAGACCAAAGTAAATGTTAAAACTGCTGGCAGTGGCTCATTATGGTCACCATGGTAACGACACACCTGTGTCTATCACTCCCTGGCTGCCAAGATAATGAGAGGCAGACAAAAACCTCGACTAAAAAGTAAATGTCAAACAGAAAACTAAAAGTTTTACACTTTTTTAAAAATATATAAGTTATGCGTCTATATATACATAGCTCCATCTTCTATTGCTTATCTGCAGTTGGGTCAAGGAGGTAACAGGTTCAGGAGAGAAACCCAAACACCCCTCTCCCCATCGACACATTCCAAATTATTCTGGGGGGCCCAGAGGCGTTCCCAGGCCAGAGAAGATACACAATCCCTCCAGCAACGTCTGTGTCTTCTCCAGGGCCTCCTACCAGTGGGCCGTGCCTTGAAAACCTCTAAAGGGAGGCGTCCAAGAGGCATCCTAATCAGCTGACTCCTCATCTTATCGCTAAGGCTGAGCCCGGCCACCCTGCAAAGTACCGTATTTTTCGGCGTATAAGTTGCTCCGGAGTATAAGTTGCATCAGTCACAAAAAGCATCATGAAGAGGAAAACAATATATATAAGTAGCTTTGGCATATAAGTCGTGTTTATTATGCGTCACCGCTGACTCCCGGGAAATGTAGGCTGGTGTTGTGCCAAAAATCGATTGGCGGCCACGGGAGCGCACACGGGAGGACTCGCTGTTGCAATTCTTTGAAATTTAACAAGAGTAACACTTAAAAACAATTATTTGTTTGCTCGACATTATAGCAAAGGTGTGTCTCTGTTTGGGGCGGCAAGGGTAGCGGTGCAGGAACAATATACAGTATACACCTACGGCTAGAGGACCCTCTAGCGGCCGCAAATGGTAATGTTTACTCTGGTTCATGTCAGTATGAATGAACATTTAAAGCATCAGTTAAAAATTGCATTATGAATATGGAAACAAAAAACGTATATAAGTCACTTTGGCGTATAAGTTGCAGGACTGGCAAATCTATGCAAAAAAAACTGTGATTTATACGTCAGAAAATACGGTAAATCCATTTTGGCCACTTGAACCCGGCATGTTGTTCTTTCGGTCATGATCCAAACCTCAGGACCACAGGGGAGGGTTGGAATGTAGACAGACGAGTAGATCGAGAGCTTTGCCTTTTGACTCACCTCTTTCTTCACCATGACTGATAGATCTATCAGTCTAATTTAACCTAATCTAAAGTAGATTAGATTAGATTGGATTAGAACGGGACAGACAGATGGATGGTAGGAGATATGACATATTTAAAGTGAATATTTTACGTTAACCTATACCTGAAGCTTGCTGGTTGTGTACTCGCTGCATTTTAGGGAAATTTGAAAAAATAAAATAAAATAAACATAAGTTCTAAAGCGGTGAGAAACACTGAAGACAAAAATCCCTACGTTTTGATGTATTTCTATATGTGCTCAATAGAGTCTTAGGAAGTAAAAAGGGGTTGTTAGCAAAAAATCTGAAGATTTTAAGCAGCTCAAAGTTGAGTCATCAGCCTAATACATTTGAAAATACATATGATAAACTGTGATTGTAATAAATGCCTAAAAGATTTCAAAATACCAGATCAGAAGTCCAACTTTCTACAACTTGTCTAAACTTTGAAAGATTTTTTATTTTATTTTATTGTGTACGTCTGTTATAGAGCTCCAAACTGGGCTGTTTTTTTCTTTCACGTGTTTTGTCAAAATCCCATTGATCCCCATTTCTTCTCAGTTTGTTTTTTTGTTGACGCTCTCATTTTAGCAAACAAATGCAAAAGAGAACAAATCAGTATTTAAACAAATAACCGATAAACGACCAAAGAGCTATAAGTAATTAATGCACAGCCATGGAGTTCTTGTAGCTTTTCGTGTTACGACATTCACTCCGTGTTCACAGTGAAATAATTTACACAAAGCATCTACAGATGAACCCATAACAAACTGCTCCATACCTCCTTCTGCTGCTGGTCCATACTATAAAAAATAAATACAAAAAAAGGAGTCAGATCATCCAGATTTTACACAAAACAAGCTCATTAAGATGACTTTTCTGTTTCCAACTGACGATTCACATTTTGTGTTTCAGTTTTTCGCTCTCCTTGTTTTTGCCCTTTGACCTCAACGATAAGCTGACCTCGATGCTGCTCATCCGGATCTGCTCCAAAGGTCTGCAGCCCTCAGACAACACGACTGCCGAGCGTTGAAACGACTGATAGTGAACACTCAGATGCACGTCGAGCAGACGCAAAGAAACAGATGAACGTTTACGACAGCGCACAGCTTTTTGTGTGCACGTCTGTAAAATATATGAAGCCTGATACCACCATGGTATACTGTAGATTATGACTGCCAATTACTCTAAATCTTAATATATTTTTTGTTTTGCTTTGTGAACAAGACGTTAAAATCTGTTTATGCACGTCAAAATATTAATTTATTGCAACTAAATTGAATCGAATTGTGAGTCAACCCTTAGAAATAAGATGGTCATTTGATTTGTTTTATTTTCTGATTTTCTTGTAGGTTAAACCTTTCAGTAGTTTCTGTCTAACAATAAAAAAAAAGCCATAAAAACAATTTTTTTTGCAGATTCCTTGAAAATGCGCTCTAATCTTTAAATCTTTATCTAATCTTTAAAGCCAAAAAACTGACAGCTCAACAGTTTTGTTTAACAGAAAATCAATAAAAGGTGTCAATACAGTACACTAATAAAATAACGGTTACTATGGTTTATATATAATGTAATAAAACAGCCTAAAATACTGAATTATTTGCTTGAATTGTGTCAGACTGGTTTGTAATTCTCTTAACACTGGATTTGTAACCTCAATTAATCCAATAAGACAAATTCAAACATATGAGCTGTATCAGTTCTAGTTGGTACTGACTACTCCCTGGAACAGGCATACATCAATACAAACTGTATTTAATGCAAACTGTGTTGAAGTTGTGTCAATGAATAACCCACAGAACAAAGACCCAGTACAAACAGGTTGAGCAGGATGAAACCTATAGACACTCACCAGTACAGCCGATCCTCCTCAAAATAGAAATCTGTTATGTTTTTCTATGATCTAGCCTCTAGATTGGGCTGGCTTCCTCTCTGGCTGGTAGTTTAGCTTGGGATAAATAAGTGCCATGTCAGCACATTTGACCAGAGTCACAGGAACACACAGCTGAGAGAAAGAACAGCTCTTCAGTCTGAGACAAAGACACAAAGGGCCCACAGTTTCTCCATCACTGAGCCACAAACAGTCAGACTGAGAGGGTAAATCTTGTGTTTTTCTCCACATAAACAGGTTTGAACAGCTCAGAACTAACAAGTTCACTTACAGGAATCTAATTTTTTTTTGCTACAAACAATTTTTTTTTTTTTTTTTCTCAGTGTTTCTTACCAAATCTCCACTGTCACAATGCTCTCAGAGGGTGCAGCCGAGCTTTCTGCCTGTTTGTCCACTCCCAAGAACAGTGTGTCACAACCAGCATGTTTCTGACAGCCAGGCAACTCCAAACAGGAAGTGCCCCAACAGAACAACAGCAGCAGAAGAGCAGGGAGCCTCCTGCTGCTGCAGAGAGGACACTCTGACACCTGCTGGACACATTCAGGACCAAAGGCTGTTCAAACACATCTTATCAGCTCCAAATGTTGTTTTCTGGAGTAAGGTTTTGGTTTGCATGCACATACATGTGCATGAACTTATGTACTGTATGTTAAATAAAAAAATTGTAAAAAATAAAATGAAAAAACCATTTGGGCCCTCATGAAAAATTGGCTTTCACTGGAGAGCCCAACATTGACCGTAATGTATGGATGGACATTTTATGGAGAGAATAACAGCAGAAATAAATGATGAAAAGGACCGATTTACTTTACGCAGGAAGAAATGAATGGCTTATATAAAATCATGCAGACCAGATCTAGAACTAGCAATTTCTGAATGAGATATACTGATTGTAACAAAAAACACTTTCACTTATATTGTGTTATTTTTGTTGTTAAAAAAAAAAAGGCATTTAAATGGATATTTAACTAATAAATGAAGTGGATGTACATGTTAAATACATTTATAAATGTCAATAAAAATATATAAATTATTTAAAAAAAAACATTTGGGGGAAAACCTACACAAAAACAACAACAACAACCAAGGCCCACATTTTAATGAAATTAATACTTTGTTTAGGTTTCTGGATCTATTTTTCCTTTTGGATGTAGGAAACTATAACAACTACAAAACAACTTTCTTTTTAAAAAAAAAATAAATAAATGAATAAAACTCAGAAGTCCACAGAAACATTTTGATATAATATTAATAATAATAAAAAATAATAAACATATAGAAGATGAAAAGGTATAACTCAATTACTGTGGCTTTTCTACATTGCATACTTTATTTTTCTGAATAAGTGTACTTATATTTTAACATAACATGTAGAGTGTGTAAACATATTATTTTAGGGGATGTACTTTTATTCACAACTGCTGTTTTTCTCATTAAATTGATATGTTAAGTTTGCTTGTAAGTAAATTTAGTTAATAGTTCCTTTCTCAAATAAAAAGTGCTTGAAAATACATTCAAGCATGAGACACAACAACGTACATTACAATAATGATATTGCTATAATTAGAAACATTTTATCCAAAAATGCAGAAAAACTGGTTCATGCATTTGTCACATCTAGACTGGACTATTGCAATGGTTTGATATATGGGTGTCCAAAAAACTTATTTAAAAAGAAATGCTGTTGCTAGTGTCTTAACTGGAGTTAGTAAGAGAGATTATATCTCTCCAGTTTTAGCTTCTCTCCACTGGCTCCCCGTCAAATCCAGAGTTGAATTCAAAATCCTACTTCTAACCTACAAAGCTCTCAACAACCTAGCTCCATCTTATATTTGAGATCTTATTGTTCCATATTTAGAGCACTTCGTTCTCAGACTGCAGGCTTACTTGCGGTTTCTAGAGTTTCCAAAAACAGAATGGGAGGAAGATCTTTCAGTTATCAGGCTCCTCTCTTGTGGACCCAACTTCCAGTTTCTGTCCGTGAGACTGACACATTGTCCAGTTTTAAGACTGTGCTTAAAACTTTCCTTTTTGATAAATCTGGATTGTTATGCTGCCATAGATAGTTTGACATGACTATTGATGAGGAAGAGGGCCTGCACCGGAGAAGGGGGCATGCTAGATCATCTTAGCACCAACATAACTGGTTTGTTCCACTTTGGAGTAAGCTGTTGGGGGAATAATCAGTTTTGTGTTGTGTGTTTCCTTGACTGATGAAGCCTTCTGGATGGAAGATGATACGTTTCAGCACAAAAAAAAAAAAAGAAACTGTCCAGATGACCTGACTTAAAATGGTTGGATTTCTCTTATATGTGATTCTCGTCCTGTATTTTAAGTATTTTAAGTTACACTAATATACTTTAGTTGCTTCATTATGGGAAGAAAATATAATAATTGTGTAGATTGTTTTCAGTGAAGCTCAAAAAGCAAAACCTAGGACTAGATTTGAAGACAAATCAACAGACTTATGACAATGTTTTCAAGCCACATGTATTTATAAACACATGTCCATGATGGATATGAGCCTGAGCCAAAGCACATACCCTGTTTGTGACTGTCACCATCTGAGTGGAGGGGAGGCAGCACACAGCAGGTTGTCTCAGCAGTAGGGAAAGTACAGAGTTGTATAAATACTTCAGACATAGCTATGGCAGACGGAGAGTCACACTCTGACGCTGTTAGGGCAACACAAGTCATGCAAGACTCAAAGCAGACAGATGGCACAAACACAGAAGACGAAGACAGCACATGTGTGACGGGCGAGATCCCATCTCTGCAGGAGCTGGAGGAGGTTCTGCATTCAGCTCCACGCTCATGTCGCCATGGAGATGAGGTGTGGCCGAACCTTTTTCTGGGAGACATGTGCGTAACATCTTGCATTTAGCTTCACATATATGAGGATTCTGGTCAGTTTTTTAAATGTAATTTAACTTTTTGTCAGGTTTATGTCTCATGACAAGTTTGGACTCTGGCAGCTGGGCATCACTCATGTGCTGAACGCCGCTCATGGTAAACTCTGCTGTAAGGGCAGCGATGATTTCTACGGAACCACAGAGAAATATTACGGCGTCCCCGCTAATGACCTGCCGACATTTGACCTCTCGCCATTTTTCTACCCAGCTGCAGAGTTCATTCACCAGGCTTTGACATCAGGAGGTAGACAGGCAGGTTTTATGAATTTAACATCGATGAAACAAGAAAAATAATTGAGCATATTTGTGTTTATTTATAATTTCAGGGAAGGTTTTGGTGCACTGTGCAGTGGGAGTGAGCCGTTCAGCTGCTTTGGTTCTTGCCTACCTGATGATCCATCATCACCTCAGTCTTCTGTCTTCCATACATCATGTGCAACAAAAGCGCTGGATTTTTCCTAATAGAGGATTTCTAAGACAACTTATAAAGCTGGACCGAAAACTGCTCAAAGAAAGGCCAAAAAAATGGCACAAAAAAGACAAACCTTAAACTTGATAACTTCCGCCTGCTTTCAACAATGTTCAGTCAGGTCATCTGGGCACTTTCCTTTGTTGCTGAGACGTTTCGTCCTTCATCCGAAGGACTTCTTCAATCTAAGGAGCAACCAAACCAAACTGAATCCCACAAACAGCTGTTTGCTGTTCTGTTAATAGCTGTTTGTGGCAATTTGGTTTGGCAGCTCCTCAGATTGAAGAAGTCCTTCGGATGAAGGACGAAACGTCTCAGCAACAAATGAAACCATCCAGATGACCTGACTGAACATTGTTGGATTTATACCTGGATTAATGAGCATGAACTATGGTGTTCGGCCTGTTTTTTAATGTGATTTCCTGCACATGTAATTGTGTTCAGCTGTGCCTAGTCCTCTCTTTTGTTTTCTGATTTTATATCAGTGTTGGTAGAGAGAGAGAGAAAGAGAAAGAGAGAGAGTCATGGATGAACAGACCAATCAATCCAACAGGAACATTAGATAATCTACATCCAGTCAGAGGGAACATACTGCACACAGGGGCTAATTTTGGAGCTGAGCACCATTCATAAACACCCACCTGCTTATGCTTTTCACCAAGAGGCACGGCGGGCTCAGGCTGCAGGAGCAACGTGAGTGTCTGCTGCACGTCTCGTCCTGTGTGCTGGAAGAATGTCAGAGAGCAAACAGCAACAGAACCTGGTGCTCATTAAGGAGCTGGAGCTCATCTTGGATTCCTGCAAACTGGAGCTCACACCAGTGGATGAAGTCTGGCCCAATTTATACATAGGAAATGTGTGAGTGTCTTGTGTTTTTGCAGCCAGAATTAAACATGGCTGAATGTTTCTTAGAAATTATTTCAGTGTAAACAATTTGTGTTTCAGCTTCAACGCATATGCATTTAATAATTAAATAATGCTTTTGTTACATAATTCTAATGCACACTTTCTTTCTGAACCTATCTCTTGTGTCGGTTGTTTAGGGCTGTCGCACAGAACAGAAAGGCATTACATAAGCTGGGCATCACTCATGTCCTGAATGCAGCGCACTCCAAGCAGGGCAGCATTGGTAACCAGAGCTTTTATGGAAACACGAGTGTTTACTTTGGCATCCCAGCAGAAGACTCGGACCACTTTGACCTCAGCCAGCACTTCAAATCTGCTGCAGACTTCATACATACGGGCCTAAAGAGCAAAGATGGTAAAATAAATTGAAATATAACGTCCCCTGTCCCATCACATGTTTTGGTTTTCTCATTTTTCCTACATTTTCTTTCACGTTTTCAATGCTGCTCTGTAGGAAAGGTGTTAGTGCACTGCATCATGGGTGTGAGTCGATCGGCCACCTTGGTCCTGGCCTACCTCATGACGAGGAAGCATCTTTCTCTGAGAGACGCTCTGAGACATGTCGTCCAAAAACGAGCCATTTTCCCCAACCGGAACTTCCTGTCACTCCTCCTCAAGCTGGATGAACAGCTGGCACAAAAAAGGAGGTTGTGTCCTCTTCTCTGACATTAGTTCCTTTATGACATTTCCATGTGCTGCACAATTGACGGTGATTATTGTTTATTAGTATACAGATATATTTATTCTTGCTGTGTTTTTACTTTTACCCCTGTTGAGCCTGTTTTGTTAAGCTATTAAAAGAAGTCATATAATTTACACTCCAACCTTTTACAAAGATCAACTGAAACGTGTTGACTGGGTTGTTGCCAACATCTTTAAAAATTGTGTTTAGAACAACTCAAATTGCTGTTTGTTGATATGACCCAGAAACTTGATGAAACAGCTTAGAAAATGTTCAAAAATACACCACATCATACCGTATGAGTGTATGCAAGCCATAAAGAGATGCTGTGATTCAGAGTGCTTTGTAGGATAACCTCTTGGACCAATAATATCGTAATATTATTAATAAAAACAGTTTAAATTCTTCTTTTTTTAACTTCTGAACTTAACCAGGCTAATTTTTCAAGGTGTGCATTTTTTTAAAATCTGTATTTTAATTTTTTTTTTAAGTAAGTCTTTTTATTTTGATTTTTATATACAAACAGAAATTAAAACGAGAACACAAAGAACATATAAGCCCCCAAATATAGATTGCCAAAAGGTCTGCAGTTTGGGACAGGTCCAGAATGTATGCAAGAGTGTAGCTGGAGTTTGTTTTGCAACGATTGCATGCGGGGTCCAGGTTGGCTTTGATCTTGGACAACTTGTCTTTGGACCAGCCTGTGCACTACCTTAAATTGAATTACAGCGTGTCTTAGACAGATTGAAGATGAGTAAATGTTTTTAATAATCTTTTTCCAGTTTAAGTCTGATATGGGTTCCTCCAAGTCCGCTTCCCATTTCAGTTTAAGGGAACCCAGAATGGACTCATGGTACGAACTGAGCAGTGTATAAATTTTGCTGAGGGTCCCCTTGGTATCAGACCTGTATTTCAAAATCTTAGCCACAAAATATTTTGTATCTTTGTGTTTTGATAGAACAAAATGAACCATATGACCTTTTATGTTTGGCCTTAAATAATGAACCAGTTGCTTATTTTTAGATACCATACATCTCAGAAATGAGCAAACAACACTTGTAATTTCTGTTTAATTTATTTATTTGTGTGTGCGTGTGTGTCTGGTATCTTAGCTAGATAATTTTCCCTCTGTGTTTCTTTAAGAATGCATTTAAGATAACGTTCTTCTGCTGCAAATTGTTGATTTTAGGCTCAACACATTTTTGTTTACAACTTTTCCACTGTTTTTTTTTTTTTTAACACAAACTGCAAATTATGCTGTCATGGTGTGGAAGGACTGGAGAAAAAAAAGGCAGCCGAAGTACACAGACTATTTCTAAAATACCTTGAGCAAGCCTGGAAAACTACTGATCATGCCCACCTTAAATGGTGAGAAGAAAGTATGACACCATGGGAGCAAAGTATATAACTAGTTTAAAACATAAAAAACTAAAGTATATGATGTGTTTTGACCCCTCTCTTCCTTCACTTATGTTTTCTGGTCTTAAGCCGGACCTCTGATCATGACTTGCACTGTTGTTTTGACAATTTTACCAAATAGTATTGTGGAGCTCTTCTAAAAGTATAAAAAATATTACTGTACTCTTTTTTAAAGAGTTTATTTCTATCAAATGAAAGCAGTAAGAATGTCTCATCCCATGATTTTTTGTTTAACGATAAAGACAAAAAATATAAGATTTTTCTGTTTTTGTTTTTTCCCCCAGAAAGGCTTTTGGTTTTTTCCACAACAGTTCAAAACATTTCCACAGAACTTTACAGCATCTGTACCTCAAATAAAATCAATGAAAAATAAAAGTATTTGTTTATTATTATAATGCAGTTTTATGTTGGTGCTCTTATATTTCTCTTTTTAGTCTGAGTTTTTCCTCTTGCAAATCGATATCCAGTGCTCTGAGTTGTTTTAGGAAGCCGTGATTAGGCAGGATACAGCGGTGCTGCTTCACGTGCTCTATGGCGTCCACCACAGTTAAACTTTGCTTCAACATCAGGTACGCCAAAACCAACGTCGCCGACCTGCTCCGACCCATCACACAGTGCACCAATACCTTGTCTGGGGCAAAACAAAGAAACAGATCAGCCCATAAGACTAAAGAACGAACATCAGTTCCAGAAAACCTTGTGAAATGAAGGTGAATCTGAGTAGGTGCTTGACTTGGTCTTACTCTGTGGGTGGCTGAGGGCCTCGTGGATAAATTCTGCTGCAGAGGAGAAGTGCTGTGAGATGTTAAAGGTTGGTTTGTCGTCGGCTTCTACACCGTAGTACTGAATGTTCATACCACTGTAGTAATTAGCACCAGAAAGTACATTATTCCACTTTCCCTCTGCAGCATTTAGGATGTGTGTAACACCCAGATCCTGCAGACCAGGACGCTCCAGAGCTGTTTTCCTGCAACGCACATTCAACAAGTAGCTGTCAGCACCATCACAGCTGCACGATTTGATAATGAGCTTGAAGTGATGAAAATCTCTATATTATGAACTGACTCACTGATCGCCGATGAAGATCCGCGGCCACACCTGATTGAAGTGCGTGTATTGAGCTGTGGAGCCGGTCCAGAAGAGCTGCTCCAGGTCCATTGTTCCTGGTGTGATGTAATCATCGTCTGGGTCCACCTGAACCGACGCGTATGGATTTCTGCTTCTGGACTTCAGAGCACAGGAGGACATGGCTCTCCTCTGTCATCCAGAAAACACACACACATCTCTGCATAAAAGAAATATAAGCGATGCTGCAAAAACACCACACGCTGAGTCCGATTTTAAAACATATGAAGGGCCATGCATACTGAGAATTACAGAAATTACAACCTTTGGTAATCTGCAATCCCAGAGGATTTTCTATTGTAGCAAAACTGCTGCAGTGACAAATAAACTGTTAGTGAAACTCTGAGATCTGTGGAAGTTCGATTCAATATTCCAGACAATGGCTCTGAACTATGACCTGTCAATCAAACATACTATTAAATATCTATTATATTAAATAAAGGTTATTTTTTTCTTAAAATTAGGTGCCCCTGAATAAATTTCTCAGTCTTTCTCCCTCCTTGGATGGCATTAATCTGGCTTCCAGCTCTAATGTTAAAAATCTTGGTGTTATTTTTTGGACATGTCTTTTATCCCACACATTAAAAACGTTACTAACCGCGTTCTTCCACCTGCGTAATATCACGAACATTAGAAACATCTAAAAATGATGCCGGAAAACTGGTTCATGCATTTGTCATGTCTAGACTGGGCTATTGCAATGGTTTGTTATCTGGGTGTCCAAAAACATCTTCAAAAAGTCTTCAGTTGATCCAAAATGCTGCTGCCAGAGTCTTAACTGGAGTTAGTGGGAGAGATCGTAGCTCTCCAGTTTTAGTTTCTCTCCATTGGCTCCCTGTCAAGTCCAGGATTGAATTCAAAATCTTACTTCTAACCTACAAAGCCCTCAGCAACCTAGCTCCATCTTATATTTGAGCTCTTATTGTTCCATATTTTCCTAACAGAGCACTTTGCTCTCAGACTGCAGGTTTACTCGCGTTTCCAAAAGCAGAATGGGAGGAAGATCTTTCAGTTATCAGGCTCCTCTCTTGTGGAACCAACTTCCAGATCCTGTCCATGAGGCTGACACATTGTCCAGTTTTAAGACTGGGTTTAAGACTTTCCTTTTTGATAAATCCTATAGTTAGGGTTGGCTTGTTATGCTGTCTTAAGCTTAGACTACTAGAGGACAAATTATCTTCATTTCCTTAAATGATTTGTTAAAATTGAATAGTTTTCATTTGATATTATTTCTATCGTAACGTGATTCTTGACCTGCCATTGTGTATCTGTTCCTCTCAAACCCAGCCGGTCGAAGCAGATGGCCGCTTGTCCTGAACCTGGTTCTGCTAAAGGTTTCTTCCTCATGAGGGAGTTTTTCCTTTCCACTGTCGCCTTCTTGCTTGCTAAAGATGAGAGTTCTATGATGGAGATAAATTCAAAGCAGTGAATTCCTCAGATAGTGTTAAATTATTATTTTTATGAATGTTTTTGTTAACTTTTTATTTTTATACATTAATGTTTCTGTTCAGTGCCCTGAGATCACTTCTGTTGTGACTTGGCACTATATAAATAAATTGAATTGAATTGAATCAGGACTTTAATATTTCCAGCGGTCACAACTTCATATGTCTTTGTCAACTGCTGTTACACCGTATTATTTTACATTATTAGTGTTTAGCGTATATCTTACAAAGATCCTTGTATACTGTTTCTTTCTATACTTTATATTTTTGCTATTTTTGGGTGTAACTCGGACCTTGAGTACATAATTTCGTTCCACTGACAATAAAGAAACTTGAACTTGAACAGATTTAAACCCACACAAAAATACTTACAAAACTTAATTTCCTTTACTAATTCTGTTTTTAAATTACATTTGTTTTACCCATAAAATAATTTTGAAATACCGGTACTTTCTGTTGCAACTTAACCTTTTTCTTTTACTTCTTACTTTTTGTCAGCTGGTTAACCCCTCACTGGCAGGCCAGTAATACAAAGACCCATTAAGGTTCAAGGTTCTTCATTTTCATTCACATCACATGTGGTACATAAGGTGGAAAGAAATTGTGTACTCAAGGTCCCAGTTACACCCAAAAAAATGGCAAAAATTGTAAAGTGTGCGAAAAGAAAAGTATCTAAACAATAATAATGTAATATAGTACAATGTATTAAACAGCAGTCTGAGCATTAAGGTCTTAAGTTCATCATTTGTCTTTGCTGTAAGTTTCATGCTTGATATCAAACTTTTAGTTCATAAGAACCAAAGCTGTGATTATAAAACTTCAAGTGTCTGAAAAAGAAATTAACAAGCACGCTTAAGAAAAAAGTACTCACCTCTTTCAGATCAGTTTCAGAGCAGGAAGTGGACCCCTGCTTTCGTTAGTGAACATGTGTGCGGCTTTTTTTTTTTTTTTTTTTACACAGAAAGCATAAAGACTGTAATGTAGACCTGAAATAGAAACTGCTCTCTCTGTCTCTATGTTTATGACGATATTTTTAGGCAGCTGGGCCGTTCGCCACCTGACCTGGACAACGTGACCAACATACACACACTGAGATAAACACGACGACTTCTTTATATTCTCAGTGCCTTTCCAAGTCCTTTCTTATAGATTATTACAGTGAATAAATTCATTAAATTTACATTTGTACCAGAAAAGTGAATAACAAATGTTGCTAAAGCAATAAGGATCCTCATAGTGTAACTAACAGATGGCATTTTGTTCAGTTTTAACGATTGTGAAAGCTTTTTAAATGAAAGAACCATGCACTCTTGTTATTTTGAGCAGGACATGTCCTCGTGGATCTGTTTGCTCTGCAGACGGAGGCTCAGCGCCAGCTGTCTGAGCTGTTCCAGAAATCCAGAGTTCGGTCCAATGTCTCGGTTCAGACGCACAGCAGTGATGGCCTCCGCTAACGAAAGGCCCTGGTGAAGCATCAAGTAGGCCAAGACCAATGCTCCAGAGCGGCTGACCCCCATGGCACAGTGGACCAACACCTTTCCTGGAAAACATTTTCATTAGAAATGTTTATTACATCAAAAGTAATTGAAGTTGCACGTAAACCTATCTTCTTATTCTAAAATTATTTTTAACAACAGCATTCTGTATTGCATTTTCTTACTTATCTCATTTGTGTGTTCGGTGCATTTGAACATATTTTTGTCCTTTAATAACATTCCTCTCATGCGGTTCTTTATAATTTATATCCAGCTTGTGCTGTTACATTGTCTCACTGACCATTTTTCTTCAGAGCGCTGTCTATAAACTGTGCGGCAGAGCCGAAGAAAGGCTGAAGATTAAAATTGGGATGGTCTGCAGCTTCGACACCGTGGTACACCACTTGAACGTCAGAGTAGAAGTGCTGACCCGTGTTGATCCGGTGTCTTCCTGCTGCAGCGTTCAGTATGTGAGTTACACCCAGAGATGACAGGGTGGCTTTGTCTCGTGCAACAGACCTTTAGACACACACCACAAACTGAAGTGTTTTATTTTATACTTATTGCCATGTCCATGATTCTGAGACTTTTCTACTCACTCATCTCCGATGTAAAGGTTGGGCCAGACTTGATTGACAGCTGCCACAGGCTTCCTGCTTGTCCAAAGGATTTCCTTCAGCTCTGTCAGAGATGTTTCATCCTGTTCAGTTAAATGTCCTCTAAAGCAAATACAGATTGTGTCTCTGGATGCATGCCTGTATTTATGTTAAAGTTATTGCATCTGAGTGACTTTTACAGTGCCTGGGCCTGTGTCTTTCTCCTCCTCTCCCTTTCAAGGCTCATGTCGAGGCTGCGAAGCTGCTGCAGGAAGCCAGCGTTGGGACAAATGTCTCTGTGCTGCCTGACAGCAGCCGCTGCCTCCCGCAGCCTCAGGCCCTCGGCAATCATCAGAAAGGCTAAAACTAAGGTCGCAGAGCGGCTCACGCCCATCAGACAGTGAACAAACACCCGTCCTGGGACAGAGATGTTACGTTTAGCATCATAAATGCAGCATGTTACTCAGTGCAACAGGAGTTTATCTCTTTAGATAGCACTGGCTCAGGTATATTTCCATAAACAGTTCACCGTACAAACCACAAGCACTGGTTAAAGCTCTATCTAATACACTAGACAAGCACCCTTAAAGGCACCAGACTGGGCGTCAGCTCTAGAAAATAAAAAAGATAACTTGTGTAAATTCAGTTGAACACTGCGAGTGTGCAGACTTGCCTCCCATGGCCAGTGCAGCTCTGATGTAACGTGTTGTCGGATAGAAGAAAGGGCTGAGGATGAAATCTATGGCATCATCCGCCTCCACCCCGTAATAATCCACAGTCATGTCTCTATAGAAACGAGGGCCGGTGTTGACATAGAAACAGGGTCCAGGCCCAGGACTGGGGGGTCCATGGGCAGCATTTACAATGTGAGTAATTCCCAGGCTGTGGAGCGTGCCCTTGTCACGAGCAGCCACCCTGAAATATGACTTGGTTACTGATACATTTCACAACTGGCACGTGTACATGTGCATGCATGTCATGTGGACACCTACTCATTGCCTAGGTAAAGGTTTGGCCAGACTTGATTGACATGTCCAGTTGGTCGTCTGTTTGCCAGCAGGAGCTCCTGCAGCTCTGAGACGGATGGAGGTTCATGCAGAGGATCTCTAAAACACATGCTGTACAGGCACACACAATATATTTCATCTTCCAAAAGCCATAGATGACACATGCAAATGATCCCTAAACTAACCAGTTTCCACCCTGAACCACACAAAAGGCTTACCTGAGTTTTAAACTTCTTCCACACAGCTTCTTCTTACATCACCCACCAGGCGTCTGCAGCTTTTTATAACTCTGTAATCATACTCTCACTGTCAACAAGCTCACCCTGCAGTTCTCCTCAGCAGCCAGAAGTTAAAATGCATTTAAACTGCATCTCTGAGGTCTTCTGCAGAGCACTGAAGAGTCTTGTGAAACTTATCAGTTTGCATGCACATGAACATTTCTGCATGTGTATGGCTGATTTACACCTGCTGCTCTGCTCCTTTAAAACATGGCAGCTGTGTATAATATTTAACAGAAATTTATGTTAGCTGTTATGCATAAATAAGCTAAAAGTTGGAAAAAAGTTTGCATTTTATTACTATTTTATAATCCTTTCAACATAATGTTTCATGTTTTATTGATAAAAACAAAAATATAGTTTTAAAATCTATTAATTTCCTGAAAAACATGAACAGTATATTGATTAAGTAAAGAAATTAAATGTGTTTTCAGTATAAGTTCCATTATCTTGATTTGAGATCTGAAATTAAAAAACCATTTGTTTGCAGAACTGATCCAACATCTGGCAAAAATTGTGCACACAACTCTGCAAACGTATCTTTTACGTTCATCAAAACTTGTGCTACCTAAAACGAATCATTATGAATTGTAGTAAACTTGTGTTTTCAAATTAACTACTGTTAATACTAGAAAAAACATGGTGCTGAAAATGAATTTCCCCATTTACTAGAAAAGCCACACTGTCTAAAATATAAAACCATTTATACCTGGTATATATGGTATTATACAAGGAAACAAAAAAAATTTAAAGATTCTGCTAAAATTTAACAACCAAACAGAGTCAAAGCTATTTTAGTTTTATAAACACAGACAAATTACACATTATCATTATTGGAAAGCTGTTTTAGTGGTCTGAACAGTCACTCATTCCAACAGGATGTTTCTTCCTCTCAGTGTTATAATCCATCCATCCATTATCTTTACCCGCTTATTCCATTTTGGGTCAAGGGGGTCACCGGTGCCCATGTCCAGCAATCACTGTGCGAGGGGCAGGGTACACCCTGGACAGGTCTCCAGTCCATCACAGGGCCACATAGAGACAAACGAGACAAACAACCATTCACTCTCTCACTCACACCTAGGGTTAGTTAGCTAATTTTGAGTCCTCATAGCACGAACCAAACACAGATTCGGAAGCTTTGCCACGGCCGAAACTGTTGCCAATGTCTTCTTCAAGTTGATAAAACAGAGCACCGCCGATGCCAAAGAGAACTCCTGCTATCATAAATCCAAAATATAAACATTTTCAGCGTCCCCCTGAGACAGAACGGAGACACATCAGCTGATCTCTGATGTACCCCGCAGCGCGAGTCTCAGCCGGGCAAGAGGGTTCTCCAGGACCCTGTTGTTTTGTTGAAAAGCGTTTGTCAATTTCGTTGAAAGTCCAGCTCGTCAGATCCATAATAGTATTTTTCTTTTATTATTTAGACCATATAAATTGTGAAGAAGAGCCATCTTCTCTTTTCTGGCCAAAAAAGTGAATTTATGTTCAACTGTAATGTAACTTTATCCTGTTCATTTAATTTTTGCACTGTTTACACAACTACTTTGTATTGTGCACTTATCTTAGAATATTTTTCATGCACCAATCAAAAAGGTCTACATTCAATTTAAACAAAAGTGTATTTTTTTGTTTTTATTACACAGAATTGATGCTCACATGTTGACCTTCAGTAGGGTACCTACCTTTACTTCTCTATAAATCTGATATGAAAAAAAAAGGTTGAAACAATTTTAAAACCAACACCAAATCAGTGAAATACTTAATAAAAGGAGAAGAATCATATTCAGTTTTATTTCTGCTTCAGAAACCAGTTCCCCCAAGGTGATGGATAACTTAAGTATCACTGAGACCAGGAGTCACATAAGGCTTTTTGGTGTATCTGGACCAAAAAAAAAAAAAAAAAGCTGAATAAATGAAAGAACATTTTTAGGACAAGCAGACACTTTTCTATAAACCCCTTGCATTATTTAGAAATTGCTGTAAAATTCAGATTTACGACGATACTTAGGGTTGTTATATTCAAGTACTCAGAATTGCACAGATCAAAACATGTTAATCAATTAAAATGTTTGGCCCCTTTAATAAGTTGCCATGTGTCTTTTTCCCTGCAGTTTTCTCCGTAACTTTAATTTGTAGAAGAGGTTGAACCATCAACATCTGATTAAATAAGACCATTTTTAACTCCATGCATGTTCATCAATGCTGGCACATTCTCAGATTCAAGGGAAAAAAAATAGACAAATGTTTGTTTTAATGCCCACCAACATAACGTAATAATCTTTTTAAAGATGCAAGTCCCAGTATAAATCCTCACGAGTCACCATTTATCCATCAGATGCACCTTACAGGTTTTTCTGCAGTTAAAGAATTCACACCACAGAGCAGGTTCAGATCAGGTTAAGTTTTGGCTCATTGATCAAAATATGTTAAGCTGTGTTGCGTTTAAACCAAATCAGGTTTTTGACTTTGGACGTTTGCATTTAATTTACCGGTATGCAGAAGTTGGCATCCAACTGCTGATGAGAACCTTCATCTGAGCGTCACGTTTACAAGAAAAAGAACAAAATCAAACTAAGACAAATAGTATTTTAATACTTAAAGTAGAGCTGTATATTTACTAGCACTATACTGTACTTAATTATGTTATTCTGCAAACTTATTTCTTAAACGTCTTGTTCTGTCAGGTGCTCGTTTTAATGGTTCTTTCCAACAAAAAACTATATTCAGTCGAAAAAAGTACAGTCACTTCATCTGGACGTTTTTCTTTTTTCTGAGATGTTTTGTCCTTCATCCAAAGGACTTCTTCAGTCCGAGGAGCCACAAACAAACTGGAGTCCCACAAGTACCAAACTCCCATAGTGGAAAATACCAGTTTGATGGAGATAAGATGGTTTCTCGGGCCCTTCTTCTCCCCCGTCAACTCCTCTGAGGCAGTCATGCCAAAATGGTTCAAAACACCAAAGTTCATGCTCACAGAGTACAAATTCAACAATGTTTGGTCAGGTCATGGAGGGTTTCTTTTTGTTGTTGCTGAGATGTTTCATCTTTCATCCAAAGGACTTCTTAAGTCCGAGGAGCCACAAACAAACTGGAGTCCCACAAGCAGCACACTGATCAGCAGCAAACTTGTTTTTTTTCCACTATAGGGAGTGTGCTGCTTGTGGGACTCCAGTTTGTTTGTGGCTCTTCGGTCTGAAGAAGTCCTTTGGATGAAGGATGAAACATCTCAGAAAAAAAACAAACATCCAGATGGCTTGACTGAACATTGTTAGATTTGTACCTGGATAATTGAGCATGAACTTTGGTTTATTCGGTTGAGTTACAGGTCTTATTGCAAAAGTCTTTTTTTTTTGTCTTTGAAGCTTTAAAATGTTAAAAGAAAGAAGGTTTTAGTTGTCTAGTGATTTTAAATAGTTTTTAAACATAAAAAAAATGAATGCAGTTTGTTCAGCATGTTTTGCAGTATGGGAAAATATATATTAAAAAAACTAATAAATGAGTGACGATTTTAATTGAAAAATATATAATTAAATGGAGGATCCAAATGTTTGAGACCAGATGGTCTCTCTGCTGTGATGTTGCTCATAAAAAACTTCAGTGAAAATCAAACATTAATTTAATTCTGCTTTGAAACATGCAGATAGAAAGTGAACCCACGACCTCCAGAAGACATGAATCCTACTTCGTAGAGTAAGATTCACCAGAACTAATCGAAAAACTTTCTAATATCCACAAAGAAAAGAAAAAATTAAAAAGGTACACAGCACACCTTATACCGAACATTTACTCGGAAGACGCTTTGACACAATTAAAGTGTGCTTTTCAAAATAAAATACATTTAGTTTTCTCAACTGGCTCGTTATAGCTAATAAAAATCACTGCTGCACATGTCAGTGCTACATCCTAAAACCTGTTTTCAAAGCTACATTTTAGTCCATTTTTGTGCTTGCATCATCTCTAAAAGGCAGCGACAACAGAACAAAGAGACGAGGCGTACTGGTGCTCACAGCTGGGTCTGATGGGACCACTGGAGGTGTGCGAGTCTAAACCCAACAGGAAGCAGTTCAATAAAAATTTTCTACAAAAAGATTTACATCTAGATCTATTGGGTAAAGTTAAATCACAACATTCCTTGGCATTAGTTGACTGTGAAGATCAACTGAAACACAAAACTTATTTTGGAATAAGCTGCACGATCTTCTAGTGACCCCTTGAGGACAAAACTGAGATAAACAAACCACCAGCAGCCACTTAATTCAGAGTGGGGATTGGGGGCTGATTCAAAAAATAAAATCTGGATCAGGGTTGTGGAGGTTGTGTGAGTTTGAGGCTTTAGGCTGAAAAAACATAATGTTCCCGAACGCCTCACTCAAAGTCAGGTTTTTCTGGGAAGGTGCAACCAGCTCGTCTGATGATGACGTTGGCGGAGTAGTGTGCTGCCCTCACGCACTGATCCAGAGGTTTCTCCTGGACGAGCCCAAACAGGAAGCCTGCGTCACAAAAAAAAAAAAAAAAAAAAAAACCTCAAGTCATCATAAGTAATTTAGAAATGTACAGAGGGACCCGATAATGGCCAATCAGGTCATCTGGACAGTTTATTTTTTGTGGTAAGACGTTTCGCCCTCTATCCGGAGTGCTTCATCAGTCTGAGGAGTCTCAAGTAAACCGTTTTCCCCACCAAGCAGATCATCTTGTCAACGGCAGGCTGGTTGGTCCACTAAAGGAGTGTACTGCTTGGTGGGGAAAACAGTTTACTTTGGGACTCCTCAGACTGATGAAGCCCTCTGGATAGAGGGCAAAACGTCTTTCCACAAAAAAGAAACTGTCCAGATGACCTGACTGATCATTATTGGATTTTGTACCTGGATGATTGAGCATGAACTTTGATCTACAGAGAGACAAATCTCACCTCCCACAAAGGCGTCCCCTGCACCGTTCGTGTCAATAATGTCCTTTGGATCAATCTTCATTACAGGGAAAACCTCGATCTTGTCACCTGGGTAAACAAAACGATAAATAAAACACTGCAGACCTAAAAAATATGACGAGAGGCTGTGATCAATTACAATAAAAGATAATCTTACTTAGAGCCATGACAGTTTCATCTTTTCCTTGAGTAAACACTACAATCCTTTGTCTCTTTTTGTTGACTTTGGGTAGAGCTTGGGCTTTTTTTGCAATCTCCTTAATATCTTTTGTCTAGAGAGAAAAACAACAAACACTTTCACACAACTCGCTGATGGAGGCACAAAAAGCTCTGCTCATAAAAGTCCACTCACCTCAAAGTCCTGCTCTTTAGCAAAAGTAGCAGCCTCCTGAGCAAACAGAAACAGTTCACACACCATCAGCATTCTGGTTGGAACCGAGCGCCGAACGTGCATGTGTGACTAAATGTGGCTTACCGTCTCGTTGCCGAAGAGGACATCGATGTAGGGCATGACCTGCATCAGGTTGTCCTTGAAGAACTGGCAGATGAAGGGAGCGGAGAGATTCATGCAGAATAGCTTGTTGCTTTCAGAAGCGTGCTTCGCCACCTTCAAGATGGACTCCAAGGAGACGGTCAGGAAGAAACCCTGCGAGGAACGAAGATGAAGAACGTTCTGCTTTTAACATCTGGAGTATCTGAACAACATACAGTAAAAGGTATAGGGTAGAAAATAAAAGGATTCAGATGGATTTATAACTCTTAAAAATGACTGATGCAACTAAATCAGGAGCAAAATTATAACTTTAAGTTTACCCTTCGATTTTAATAGTGTGAATTGTGATCCTGTTTATAGTTATTATTCCAGGTTCTTTAAACTATTCCTTAAGTTTTTCAGCATCTTTCTCGTTCCACAATTTTTGTGCTATTTCATCAAAACGTTCAGCTCTTTCAGGACAATCCTGCTATGACTTTTAGTATTGGTGCAACTTTAGCTTTTTGAAATATTTAGCCTTTTCTGCCACTTTTTTCTCAAAGAAAATGAATTGAGCTCATTTTCCATCCTTCATATTTTTAGATCTGTTTACATTCTTTTACTGCTCCTTTCACATTTGTTCTCGTTCAGCTTCTTTCAGCTTTCTTCTGCAAATTAAAAAACCTTTTTTCCAGCTAATTCCAGCTGTTTTTCTGGCTGTTTTGTGCTTCTTCTAACTTCTTTCAACTAATTTCAGCTTGTTATGCTCAATTTAGCTCATTTCTGCAAGTTTCAACTATTTCAGCTACTATTTAGCTGTTTTTATGCTAATTTGAAAATTTTCAGCCAAGTCCACATTTTTTGCACTCAATTAAACTTTTTTCAGCCCAATTCAACAAAAATGTACTCTCTCCACTTCATTCTGATAACTTAAGCTGCTTTCTGCGTTTTAGCTACTTTTAAGTTTTTGTTCAGATCAGCTTTTTTCAGATAATTTCTACTTTTTTGTGCTAATTTCTGCTTCTTTAAGCCTAATTGGGCAAAAATGTGCTCTCTCCACTTCCTTCTGCTTCTTTCTGCCTTTTCAGCTACTTTTGCCAATCTTTTTTGTTAGTAAATCTACCAATTTATTTTGCTCACTTCAACTTATTTTAATCTAATTCAGTAAATCTTTGTTCTTTCTGCTTTCTTCTGCAAACATAGGCTTGTTCTTCAATTTCAGCTACATTTCAGCTGTTTTTCAGCAAGTTATGCAGCAATAAGCATTCACACTGCATTTTTGCAGGAAATGCAATTTCTCTAGTTTTTAATTGTATTAGTGATAAGACAATAAGATGCACAAAAATACCAACTTTCACTACATTTGATTCTTCCAGATACATTTTAATAATGGGTAAAATATACGTTTATAATTTTTCTAAGCAGCACATCCTAAATAAATATATCTGCAACAAGCAGCTGAACAATGCAGAGCTGTGAGCATAAACCTTTAGGGGTGTTTTAAAAAGCACAGTTGAGTTTTCATTTAAAATTATTAAAAGTCTCAAAAGAAAAAAACAGCAGAAACTGCAGCAAAACAATAGGAACTACTCACAGCGATATAGTAGACTTTAGCTTTTTCCACCAACTTCCAATTTTCCTCCAGGTCTAAATGCTTTTCCTTCTTATAACAGTTAGCAGCAGCTAGATTTGCAACCAGAGACCTGAAACGTGTAAACATTTGAATAAATAATACATTTTAAACAGGATTACTCATTGTAATGTGCGGTTATTTTATTCAGGCACCTGTTGTCTCCAGTGATGCACGCAGCACACGTTCCTGTGGGCTCTTCATCTTGTTCATAGTAGTGAACATCAACGTGGGCCTCCTCAGCCTTCTGCTTGAGGATCTCTCCAAATTTGTCTTTGCCGATGCAGCCGAAGAACGTTCCCACGTGGTGAGGTTCTTGGATCATCCACTAGAAACAGCCACAACCGCTCAGATCAACACCAGTCAATCAATTCCTCTCACTGAAGCCAACGTCTGCACAAAGGTCAGTGTTTGCACGAGCGTGACCGACCTGAGCGATCTTAACGGAGTTCTGCGTGGCTCCTCCGGCGTGATACTCAACTTTGAACTTCTTCACAAGTTCGTCGAACCTGCAGAAGCAAATATGTCACTTTCCTTGTTAAAAGCTGATACAGCATCACGCTTTAAGAGTTTGTTTCATAATCATTAAGTTACAGCAACTTCAGCAAGGTGTCCATCTGACTCAAAGGTTTAATGGAAAGAAATCACAAGTCAGGCTTCAACAGTTTAAATCCTGCTAACTTAAAATGATCAGGTACTTTAAACTTTAGGTCAGATGACAACCCAAAAGAACAATTGTTTTGTTTTTCTTAAGTCTTAAAATCTAACAATTAAAATGTAAAAGACATTCAGGTTTACAGTAGTCCCTCGTTACTTCGCAGGTCGTTTATCACGGACTCGCTCTAACGCGGTTTTTCAAAATAAGATTGGACACGACACACAATTGGCTG